CGGGCAATTGTTTGGCACCGGCTCAGGTGTGGCTGCTGCCAATCCCGCTCGTATGTGGTTCCTCCGTGCGCCTCCGAGTCGTTCCCCCTTTTTTTGAGAGTGCGCGAATACCGTACGGCTCGTTACAAGTTGAAATAATCGTAATAATAACTTTTAGTTTTATAGTTTTCGCCAATTCTATTACAATTGTGATGCCGGCATCGATCGCCTCGCGAGAGGACGTGGCCACCATTCGCGACTCCCGCAGTGAGCAGTGCATCAACCCCGTGCGTTGTGCGAAGGTCCACGGGAAGAGACGTCGCGCAGCGAGTGACGCTGCATGTCCACGCGTGATCCAGCGCTCGTTTCTGGACGGCGTTACCAGCTGCGTCAACGGCATCAGGCACAACGGACTCATCGGAGCAGGCGGCGGTGGGGAAGGGATTTTCTTTGGGGGAGGGGCAGGTGGCTAGGTCATTACCATTCTGGGCTCACGTTTAGGAATGGACCCTATGAACGTGCTGAATTCTTATTCCTCGTCTCTGAGCTTATAGCTCACAATGCTTTCATCTTGAGTTTTGATGATGATGGTGGGGTGGCAGATTTATGTCAGAAAGGCGCCACGTGGGTAAATATAAAAAGAGTGACTCGACAAATGTAGCGTGCCGTCGTTGGTGTCTGGGTGGAGGCCATCAGCTCGCTGCACTCAAGAACTTAGGTCAATCGTGGACGGCAAACCCAGATTTATTTGAATTCGCGATGCAATTCAGCGCGCAACACATCGGAGAGCGTCTGTTTATCGTGGGAGAACACTGACAAATCTCCACCCTAGGGCCGTGTGCCCCCGAAATTTGTTTTCTATTATTGCATCTCAGGATCTGCGGGGGGTGGCAGCAGCGGCGGCGGCTTGGGGAGACCTTCATCCAGCAGTGGATAGATCACGGCTTGCCATCACGTAGATTATTATTATGACAATTAAAAAAACGTGACAATGTGAATTGCCTCGGTGCAATTAAGCTGGTGGAAAATTATACCGAGTAATGCCGTGGCATCTGAGGTCACCGAGAATAGCAACCATTAAGACTTCCGGCTGCAGCTTTACATTATTATATATTTAAAATGTATATATATATTTCTCAGTATCTGCCTCTGCTGCTGGTTCTGCCGATAAGCGTTTCCGCGAGGCGACCTGTCGATAAGCGATCCATGCTCGCAGGAGCCTCCTCCGCCTCCCTTGGCCGGCCCCATCTGCTTCTCTGTGGCTACGCAACGGACGTCAAAAACATCCCATCGCAGCCATTCACGAGACAGGCGCTAAAAAACCCCCGCTGTTTTGCTGTGCGGTATGAATGAGCTGTGGCGGGCGTGAGGCTATAAGCAGGCCAAAGCAAAATATTAGAACCCAAAGCTGTTGCAGTTGGATCCCAATTCATGAAAATAAAATTATAGGAATGTATCAATTTAACACGTAGGCTTTTGCGACTAATATCAATCAAAATAAAGGGTATTTCTGTTTTGTTAAATCGCGTTAAACCCACCACCACTCAATTAGTAAGGTTTTTCATGTAAAAAAAAAAACGTGACAATTATTTACTAATTCAGCACATCGGTGTACAGTGAGGGAAAAAAGTATTTGATCCCCTGCCGATTTTGTACGTTTGCCCACTGATAAAGAAATGATCAGTCTATAATTTTAATGGTAGGTTTATTTGAACAGTGAGAGACAAAATAACAACAAAATCCAGAAAAACGCATGTCAAAAATGTTATGAATTTATTTGCATTTTAATGAGGGAAATAAGTATTTGACCCCTCTGCAAAACATGACTTAGTACTTGGTGGCAAAACCCTTGTTGGCAATCACTGAGGTCAGACGTTTCTTGTAGTTGGCCACCAGGTTTGCACACATCTCAGGAGGGATTTTGTCCCACCCCTCTTTGCAGATCTTCTTCAAGTCATTAAGGTTTCGAGGCTGACGTTTGGCAACTCGAACCTTCAGCTCCCTCCACAGAATTTCTATGGGATTAAGGTCTGGAGACTGGCTAGGCCACTCCAGGACCTAAATGTGCTTCTTCTTGAGCCACTCCTTTGTTGCCTTGGCCGTGTGTTTTGGGTCATTGTCATGCTGGAATACCCATCCACGACCCATTTTCAATGCCCTGGCTGAGGGAAGGAGGTTCTCACCCAAGATTTGACGGCACATGGCCCCGTCCATCGTCCCTTTGATAAGGTGAAGTTGTCCTGTCCCTTTAGCAGAAAAACACCCCCAAAGCACCTCCATGTTTGACGGTGGGGATGGTGTTCTTGGGGTCATAGGCAGCATTCCTCCTCCTCCAAACACGGAGAGTTGAGTTGATGCCAAAGAGCTCCACTTTGGTCTCATCTGACCACAACACTTTCAGCCAGTTGTCCTCTGAATCATTCAGATGTTCATTGTAAAACTTCAGACGGGCATGTATATGTGATTTCTTGAGCAGGGGGACCTTGCGGGCGCTGCAGGATTTCAGTCCTTCATGGCATAGTGTGTTACCAATTGTTTTCTTGGTGACTATGGTCCCAGCTGCCTTGAGATCATTGACAAGATCCTCCCGTGTAGTTCTGGGCTGATTCCACACCGTGCTCATGATCATTGCAACTCCACGAGGTGAGATCTTGCATGGAGCCCCAGGCCGAGGGAGATTGACAGTTCTTTTGTGTTTCTTCCATTTGCGAATAATCGCACCAACTGTTGTTACCTTCTCACCAAGCTGCTTGGCAATGGTCTTGTAGCCTATTTCAGCCTTGTGTAGGTCTACAATCTTGTCCCTGACATCCTTGCATAGCTCTTTGGTCTTGGCCATTGTGGAGAGTTTGGAATTTGATTGATTGATTGCTTCTGTGGACAGGTGTCTTTTATACAGGTAAGAAGCTGAGATTAGGAGCACTCCCTTTAAGAGTGTGCTCCTAATCTCAGCTCGTTACCTGTGTAAAAGACACCTGGGAGCCAGAAATATTTCTGATTGAGAGGGGGTCAAATACTTATTTCCCTCATTCAAATGCAAATCAATTTATAACATTTTTAACATGCGTTTTTTCTGGATTTAGTTGTTATTATGTCTCTCACTGTTCAAATAAACCTACCATTAAAATTATAAACTGATCATTTCTTTGTCAGTGGGCAAACGTACAAAATCACCAGGGAATCAAATACTTTTTTCCCTCACTGTATTAGAGAGTAAACCCACAACATTTACAAGTCAAGTACGACGTTTTGCTGGTGATTACAATCAGCGTCATCAGGCGATAGGCAAAATTGTGAATGAAAGAGCTCAAATTCAAATCGCAAGCATGATGAGTTAATTAACATAACCGATGCATCTCTCGTTCGTGTCTGCAGGCCTCTTCTTCCCAGTCTCACCGAATCTGTATTTTTCGTCCGCATTTCGCTCACCCACGTCTGCTTCTCCCGTGTATGTCTCCTCCGTCACCTCGATGGGAGTTTGTAAATCGAGAGGGGTGGCCTCAAAAAATATCTGCTGCCGGAGACCCCCCAAAGGCGGCCAATGCCATCTCCGAGTCAGAATGAGTTCATCTCTCTCTCTCTGTGCAAATGATGAGAAACCCTTGCTCGTTTCCAGCCCGCTCGCACCTTGGTTGTTTTTTCTCTCTGTCCGACTGCTTTCTCACCATTTACAGGAAGTATTCGGATTTCTTCATTTCTCACTGCCTTAGCGGCGAAAAACCATCCCCATATATATTTTTTTCCTATTTTTATTTTGCCAGGTGAGGACCACTGAGCTACATAGCTCTTTTTCACAAGCGACCTGACCATAAATAATAGCTCAACAAAGTGACTAATCTCGTGGAAATTTAAAGGAGCCAAATATTCTGATCGCATGATTCTAGATATGGAGGGTAAAACCGGAGGACCCGAAAACAAATCCACGTGACCACGGGGAGAGAGGCACGCAAACTCCAAATATACAGCAGGCGTCAGGTCGGGATCGAACCCACGACCCCTGTATACCAGGCGAGGCAGTTAACATCTCGCCACTGGGCATCCACGGCTTGTTTGCATAAAGCGACGCAAGGCAGCGGCAGGCAGCGATGGCTAAGATGTAACTGATGATTGCTAACAGGCACGAAATCGGTAAACTGTTGTCACATTGTCTTGCTGCTGTCCAAAATAATGTGGCCACTTACGATGTTGAGTTGGTGGCCTAAAACAAGGCTGTGTGCATTATACACGTGGTACGGCGATGTCACGTGACATGCAAGGCATGATGGGAGTTCTACCCTATGGTTACAATGCTGCCCTCCTACTGCTGCCTAGAAATCACATTTTGATTGTTTAATTTATTATTTATTAAATTGACCAAGCCAATTATAATTATGGTGAAGGACGGCAGGTGAATTATCAACCGACAAATGTAAAACTATGCACAACTTAAATCTTGACTTAGAGCTTTCCTGAATGCAGGAATTCATATTCTTTGGGTCACGTAGATAGGTTCAAAGAAATTTTATTTTTATTTTTTTATTTTCTTTGAGCGTTACTTCACCGAAAGACCCAAAGAAAATGCGCAACATATTTTCAACCCTTCCACCACTGCGATTGTAGCGCGGACTCTCAGATCGAATCATAACGTGGGCGCGGTCTGCGTCGATGGACAGATGTGCATTTTGAAGTCCGCAGAAACTCTCCGGCGAAACGAATTACATTTTCCCCCATAGCCGGGCGAGATGAGCAAACGTGCAACGTTGGGCCAACGTTGCCATGTTATTGGGGCCGTTGGGCCAATGTTGGCGCAATGTTCTATATGTTGACTGCGATAACGTGTGTTGAGAGGTTGCTCGTGAAGAGCTCCCACTTATTGCACAGGATCGCGACGAGTGGAGGCGCTGCGGCTGTGTCAGTTGGCCCGCGGCTGACCTAGGACAGCAGTCGGGCGTGGAGTTTGACCGTGCAGGCGTCGAACGCCTGAAGCGTGGCCCGAGCGACGAGACGCTGACGCCGTGTGCGCGTGTGTTGTTTGTTGGCAGGTGCTCCCCCCCCCCCACTCACGTGGGGCATGCTGCTTGCACCGTGGGCGTTGTTCGGGCTGCCGCCCTCCCGGCAGAAAACGTCGGGCTGCCGGACGGCGCAGGCACGGGGGCCAGCCCCACGACGTTCTCGACGCGCTGCCGGTTCTCCCCCCTCGAATGCCGCCGAAGAGCTGCCGAGCAGAACGAATTCGTGTCGGTCGTCCGACACGGCGGGTCCATTTAGACGGAGAAGTCGTTGAAAAGCGTTCCGTTGCCGAGCGCTAAACACGCAACGCTCAACGCGGCCAGCCACCTCGCATTCTCCCGGCCCCCCCCCCCCCCCATTGAAACCATGACGGCTTCGGCACCCAACGCGGTCTCGCGCGCGCACGTCGTGCTGGCGCTGGCGGCGGCGGCGGCGGCGCTGCGTGCCGAGGAGTGCCCGCGCGCCTGCGCCTGTGAGCCGCGGCCCTGGTTCACGCCGCGCTCCGCGTGCCGCGAGGCGCTGACGGTCGACTGCAACGACGCGCGCCTCCTCCGCGCTCCCCGCGGCCTCCCCGCGGCGACCCAGGTCCTGCTGCTGCAGAGCAACGGGCTCGCGTCGCTGGGCGCCGAGCTGCGCCCGCTGCTCGACCTCAGCGAGCTCGACCTCTCGCAGAACGAGCTGGGGAGCGTGCGCGACGCGGGCCTCGCCAACCACAGCCGCCTGGTGTCGCTCCACCTCGAGGAGAACGCCCTGACGGAGCTGGCGGACGGCTGCCTGCGCGAGCTCGCCGGCCTGCAGGAGCTCTACGTCAACCACAACCGCATCGGCGGCATAGCGCCCGGAGCGTTCGCCGGCCTCGCCAACCTCATGCGCCTCCACCTCAACGCCAACGAGCTGCGCTTCGTCGACAGCAGGTGGTTCGAGGCGACGCCCAACCTGGAGATACTGATGATCGGGGAAAACCCGGTCGCCGGCCTCAGCGACATGAACTTCATGCCCCTGTCGAGGCTGCTGAGCCTCGTTCTGGCCGGCATGGGGCTGCAGTCGATACCCGAGAACGCACTGATGGGCCTCGACAACCTGGAGAGCTTGTCCTTTTATAACAACAGCCTGGCCTGGGTGCCCAGCCGGGCGCTGCAGAAGGTGCCCAACCTCAAATTCCTGGACCTCAACAAGAACCCGATCCAGGTGATCCGCGCGGGCGACTTTAAGGACATGTCGCACATAAAGGAGCTGTGCATCAACAGCATGCTGGAGCTCGTGTCCATCGACGGCGGCGCTTTCGAGAACCTGCCGGAGCTCGCGCGCCTGGAGGTGACCAACAACCCGCGGCTGTCGTTCGTCCACCCGGAGGCGTTCGGCGCGCTGCCCGCCCTCGAGACGCTCATGCTCAACGACAACGGCCTGAGCGCGCTGCACCGGCGCGCTCTCGAGCGGCTGCGCGGCCTGCGCGAGGTGGGCCTGCACGGCAACCCGCTGCGCTGCGACTGCATCACGCGCTGGATGAGCGGCGAGCGACCCCCGGCGCGCTTCGTCGAGCCGTGGGGGATGCGCTGCGCCTCGCCCGCCGAGCACGCGGGGCGCCGCGTGCGCGACGTGGGCCCCACCGAGTTCGCCGACAGCTGCCTGCCGGCCATCCCCGGCGGCGTCCTCCCCGCCGACGTGCTCGTGGGCGCCGGCTCCGCCGTGGCGCTCCACTGCCGCGCGCTCGCGGAGCCCGAGGCGTCGGTCTACTGGGTGACGCCGGGCGGCGAGCGAGTGGCGAGGGAGGACGACGAGGACGGCGGGGGCGGTGGCGGCAGCGGCGGCGCGTGGAGGCGCTACCGGCTTTCCGACGAGGGCACCCTCGAGATCCTGGACGCGCGCTTCGAGGAGGCCGGGCTCTACACGTGCGTGGCGCGCAACTCGGAGGGCCTCGACACCAAGGCCGTCGTGGTGAAGGTGGACGGCTCGCGCCCCGCCCAGGCGAGCGGCGGCGGGGATTTGACGCTGGACGTGACGGCGGTGGGGTCGCGCTCGGCCCGGCTGACGTGGAGAGCAGGCCACGGCGTCGCGGGGTCGTCCTGCGACCTCCGCTGGTGGTCGGCGCCGCCGCCGTCGCCGCCTCGGCCGAGTTCCTCCGCGAGGCCGGCAGGAGCCCGCGTGTCGTTCTCCGCGCGGGTCCCCGTCGGCGTTCGCGAGTACAACCTCACGCAGCTGTGGCCCGCCACGGCGTACGAGGCGTGCCTGTCCGCGCTGGGCGCTCACCGCCAAACGCTGCGTCGCTGCGTGAACCTGACGACGGCGCCGGCCGAGGATCCGGCGGCCAAAGCGCCCGCTCCGGTCGAGCGGCACCGGGCGCTCGCTCTCGCCGTGGGCGGTGCGCTGGCGTCCATGTGCCTGCTGGGCCTGTTGACGTGCGGCGCTCTGAAGGCGAGGAAGACGCACGCCGAGAGGCGCATGGACGTGAAGGCGTGGCCCAGCGTTCACCGCCGCCTGAGAGAGCCGAGGCCCACCCCGCTCTGGGACACGCGGCTGCCGCTCATGGACGCCGAGTGCGGCGACGGGGAGAGCGAGAGGCGGCGTTCGCCCGAGGACGCCGCCGTCTCTGTGGACACGTCGAGGAGCCACAGCTGGCTGCAGCGGAGCTGAAATGGCGACCCGCGCGATGCAAGGGAGCCACGAAGCACAGTCAGACGGGAGGTCGCGCTCGCTTAGGTGTGCGTAAAGTAGCCCGTCGTGGAGAGAATGACAGGACGCTGATTTGCGGACGACTTTCAAGGGCTGCTGAGAGTGAGAGGTTTTTGTTTTTTCTCCACCCCCACGCCACCCCGCGTGCTTTTGAAGTGGTCGTGGAATGGAACCATCGATGGTTTTGTTGTTGCTGTTGCTGCCTGGATTAACGACATTAATCCATCCACGGTGGTCAAAAAGGCCGTGCCTGCGCGCTGACTGCGCCAGGAATTCAAAAACAAAACCCCACTATGAGATGAATAACAACAACAACAACAGAATATTGCACATCGTCACAAAGCGCTCCGCTACATACAGAGTGCTTAAAAAAATGTTAATACTCATATGGGACTATCGTTTTTCATGGAAAAGAAAGGATAATACACTGTAACGTGATAACAAATGTATGTTAATAGCTCCGAAAAGTCAAAGAGTCTCCACTTGTTCGCCATCATTGTCAACACGTGGCCTGGAATCTTCTCCAGTTGGTCTCCAGAGCCCGGAGGCAACATTTCTCGTGGTGTCGTTGCAAATTCTCCGAAGTGTTAACATTTTTTTGATGCACCCTGTAAAGAGAGAGAGATAGACCGACACGACATCTGGCGAGGCACTCACTCTCTCTCTCACGAGAGGGCCCCCCCCCCCCCCACCGTTACCAAATCGGGCTCCCCTTACAAGGAGCACCGCGGCGTTCCCACCACCGACTCCTCGTACACGACGCAGAGCTGCAGTGTCCATCGTCTGAAGAAAAGAAAAGAAAAATATTCCGATCGCTGGGACGCTCACACGCACCTGGGATTAATGACCCACCCCAAGAGCAGGGAGGTCATTGATCGTCCCGTTGCAGCCCCCCGTGCGGTTCTTTATTGTTCGCGTGAATGCCTTTTGTATAGGAAATTATAATTCAAAATAAAATAAAAAATCAGGAATGATTTTTTTTTATGGCCGCGATGGGGAAAAGGAACAACAACAACAAGCAACTTTATATTCATGACAGCTGGCCTTCTTCAGAATATACAGGGTTGTCTAAAGAGGTGCCATCCATTCGAAAAATAATTATAATCGGCAGTTCGAACTGGAGATCGAGTATAATAATTATCATGCTCTGTCAATCCACTGCTGAATGAAGGCCTCCCCATGTTGTGTCAGTCTTGAGGGGGGGAGGGGCGGGGGCGAGGGGGGCCTCTATAGCTCGACTTCACCACGCTGGTTCGGAGCCAGGACCAGTTCTGGATGTTAGTGGCACTCATGTTGCAGGGTTCATGACACTTATCGTCCAGTGCAGTGCAACCAGTGCACGGACTACACTGCAATGTTGCCATCGCATCCCCCCATTATTACTCGATTTTCTTTTAGTTATTCTCAAAAGCTCGATTGGTATTTCAACCAGCACGTAACAGCATTACTCAAAACAATGGGACCCGAGATTAAAACGATTCAGTACTTTCAGTGTCCACGCGCAGGGCTACCACGAAGGACGGCGCTGCTCTGCTGCACTCAGTCTGCAGTAATTTCGCAGCGAGGGTGCTGCGCCTGCCGTGCGTCATCCCAATGAAGTACATTTGCGGTGTAATTTCTCTAATTTGGCAAAGTCATATCGTGACGTGGGCACACACCAAAATTAAAAACCGCACCTGTTTCGAATGACGTCTATGGCATTGTTTTTACGTCACCGCCCGAACATAAAACGATGACGGCGATCACACGGTGGCACGATCTCAAATAATCTCCATTCGACGTGCGTCACCAAGGTGAGCGCGTGAAGGTTTAGAGTGGCCAGGGGTTGGCAACCTGCAGCTCCGGAACCGCATGCGGCTCTTCGGCTGCCCCCTTGCGGGCAACGTGACCTCATTCGACTCTTTACATTAAAAAAAATATGGTACAGGCGCTCCCCGTTTTTACGACATTGCAACGCTTTGCTGAAACCCCCGTCGTAAATCGGACCATATTTTCTCATAGACGCAATGTTACCGTGTTGGTGACAACGAAATGTACAGTCAAACTGCATTGTTAAAGAATAACTGAGGGGGGGGGGGGGGCTGGAATAGACGCTGTTGATTCCATAACCTATTTTTTTATTTAAGTCAGAATGTGTGTTGTCATCTGCTGCATACCTGTTCTGTCTGTGTACAAATACAAGTAGCTCTGAGTGTGATGCGGCTCTCGAGCTATTTTGGTCAAAGACAAAACAAAAAGATGGCTCCTCTTCTTTGAAAGGTTGCCAACCCCTGGTTTAGACAAATGAAACTCGTGTTGCATGAGTGGAGCTGAGTGGACTTGCCGATGACTGGCACCAGCAGTATCAAGATCGGCCTCTGTGGAGGAGGCTCGTGAAGGACGCTGCTACTGGGCAGTTGGAGGCAGTCGCCCTCCAGCAACAACGGAGGGCGGAGGAGCGACGCTCACAACAACGAGCGGAGCGCCGGTGGGGGGGGGGGGGGGACTGAAACTCAGAGAGTTAGCACAGTGGGAGAGCACGGTTCACGAATTTGACAGTCATCTCAGTCAGTCAACCCATGGCACCTGGGTCTGTCCCGTGACCTCCTGTCAGCGGGCCTTCCGACACTTCACGTGGCTTCAAAGTGAACCTGGCCTGGCACAGGCACCGTGGTCAGGGCACCACCACCGCTTCGTGCTGAAGGGCGGTTGTTGTTGTTGTTGCTGCGTGTGTGTGCCGTGCCCGCACTCATGGGCACTCGCTAACAGCACTTGCCCCAACATGCTTGTGAGGCTATCAGGTGGTAATCTTGTATGTGTGTATAATTTAATTGTCTTCGCTCAAACTGCCGCGGAATTATTAATATTTAATAGTGGATGAGGACGATACCTTTGTAGACAGCCCTGTGCATTACAGACAGCGTATATAATTGATGAAGCAGAAATTATTAACTTTGAGATACACGTGCTGTATATATGTATGTACGCACATCATACCCCGTCGGGCCAAGGTTATTCCAATGGTTCTAACTGGGTACATACGCGTGTATCCTGTATTATATATGTACATTTATTTTTTAAGTCGTTTGTTAAAATACAAAAATCTAATATTTTCGACATTGGAATTCTACACAAATGACTCATGTGACGAGCGTTCAAACACAACTTTGACGTTATTATTGTCGTGCTCTTATCGTGTACAGAACAATGAGGTTACCACCGTTGACTATGTTTTTCAGTAGGTTGCGTGTGTACGTGTACGTATGTATGCGTGTGTGTGTGTGCTGGCCTTCATAGAGGTGCTCCCTAACTACACTTGCCCCCAACGATTTTTTAAAGCCTATTCGGTGGCTCTTTGTCTTTGTGTATATACGGGGAGCGGTGGTGTCGTGGTCAGTGCACTGCGTTACGAACCCGGCCACCCGAATTCCTACTCACGACTAAAGCCCGACCCTCCCCCCCCCTTTAGGTCGACTCTGCCTTAAATGAGTACAGCACCTGGTGCGGTGAAAAAGAAATCAGTACTCGGGAGATAAAGGCGGCCGGGCGTGGTGTTTCTGGCCACACCACCCCATCGTGCACCGTTCCGGCCTTCATAGGTGCTACTCGCTCACAACACTTTGTCCCAACCGTCTGTTGAAGGCTATATATTGGATCTTTATCTTTGTATGTATATAAAAACAACAAAATCAAATGAACAATAGTCAAAGGAGTTGAAGAAACAAATTAAATGGCATTGCCACGGCACCGGAGACGCGTTTGAACCTGAAGGTGCTGTCACAATGCGGTAGCTGATGAGAATGTGCGCAGGTCACGTGTTTTATTTACACTTCTATGGACTGCATCTGTTGCTGTGAGCATCATTGAGAGCCTTCCCACGGCTCTCTCTCTCTCTTTGTATCGTACATCGACTTTCAGCCGTGACATATGTTGACTGCAGGGCGTTTGTGTTCCTTTAATAACAACAATAATAATAATGACAAAATAAATCTTGCAAGGCGGGATGCACGATGTGTTGCGATTCCAATTCTTCTCCTCGCCTTACACGACATGCACTCAGCAGTACGGTTGTTATACATCTTGGTCAGAGCCCCCTAATGCTGTGTAAGGAGTGAGGAACATTTATAGATTCTCGCTCTCCCATCGTCAACAGTACTATCATCATCAGCAGCAGTAGGCGTGATCTATCCACTGCCGGATGGATGCCTGCCCAAAGCGGCCGCCAATTTTATCACGGTCCTGCCACGCAGCAATCTACCACCTGGAGCCAATGGCTGGACATCAGGAACCCTCGTTCAATTCCTGAGTCGGCTCGCAGCGCGTGGAGCGAAACGTCGGACATCATTGCGAACAACGCGCGGTACAACCCCAAGCCGCATTGGGACAGCCTACGAGCTCCGAGTCGAAATCAAAGAGTGCGAGCATGACGGATTCAGGCCCCCGAGCGGCCTCCACGTGAGCGATCCGGAGCGGGAGATCTCCGGTAATGAGTTTGGCGCGTGGTCAGCGCGGAGACTCCGTCAAGCCGGTGTCTTCCTGCTCTCCTCGTGGTCGCGCGGGTTCTTCCTCCGGGGTCTCTCCGTTTTTTTTTTTGTTCACCTCCACATTTAGAATGAACACGACGCGTTTCGAGTTACCTGGCTGCTGCGATGCATTTCCACGTGACCAGCCACTTCGTGGAGCTGTCATTCGTGGCCCAGATGGCTTCTGAAAAGGAGCTACATAGCTCAGTGGGCCTTACTTGGTAAAATACAAATAAATCGTTTGTAGGTTTGTTTTAAATTTTGATTTAAAGCTTTCGTGACTGCAGTAATTCATAATTCTTAGTTCTTTCGGTAAAGTCACGTTGAAGGGAAACAACAAAATAATAAAATATATATAAAACAATAAAAATTCTCACGACGTTTCGAGCATAACACAAACGGTCGTCTTCAGGTGTGTCGGTTTGCATTAATTTATTTATTTTTAAACGTTGTATTTATTTATTTATAAATAAACTGCCAAATCGCTGCGCGTGGCGCTAACGTTTTTTTAATAAATAAATACACGTTTAAAAATAAATAAATTTATGCAGACCGACACACCTGAAGACGACCGTTTGTGTTATGGTCGAAACGTCGTGAAAATGTATATTGTTTTATATATATTTTATTATTTTGTTGTTTCCCTTCAACGTGACTTTACCGAAAGAACTAAGTATAAGGTTTGTTTTAGTTTTGTTTATAATCTTATAGTTTACTTGAAGGGGTATGGCACACAGCTCTGCGATATCTGCCTCGTTGGGGTCGTTCTCTGACACGAAGGGTTGTATGCACGTGCATGTACGGGCCGCGCGTTAGGGGGACGCACTAAAGGTCACCAGGGGTCACCAGTGGCCCTCGGGCCTCGCAATGAAGAACGCTGCCTTAGGTCCGTCGGGTCACGAGGAGAGGGTTTTTTTTTTTTTAACCAAACGTCCCCACGGCTGTAACCGTTCCTTTGAACGTCATTCGGCACGGATCAAATGC